ACTTCCCTCTGGCCACCTACGCCCCAGTTATCTCCGCAGAGAAGGCCTACCACGAGCAGCTGTCGGTGGCTGACATCACCAACGCCTGTTTTGAGCCGGCCAACCAGTTGGTGAAATGCGACCCCCGCCACGGCAAGTACATGGCCTGCTGCCTCCTGTACCGTGGTGATGTGGTGCCTAAAGATGTCAACTCTGCCATCGCCACCATCAAAACCAAACGCACCATCCAGTTTGTGGACTGGTGTCCCACTGGCTTCAAGGTGGGCATCAACTACCAGCCACCCACCGTGGTTCCTGGAGGAGACCTGGCCAAGGTGCAGAGGGCCGTGTGCATGCTGAGCAACACCACCGCCATCGCAGAGGCCTGGGCTCGTCTGGACCACAAGTTCGACCTGATGTACGCCAAGAGGGCCTTCGTCCACTGGTACGTTGGAGAGGGGATGGAGGAGGGAGAGTTCTCTGAGGCCAGAGAGGATATGGCCGCCCTGGAGAAGGATTATGAGGAGGTGGGCACCGACAGCGTGGGGGACGAAGGAGAAGAAGGGGAGGAGTACTAAGCCACTGAAACATCTGTGGTGAAGACTCTGACCCTCCATTGTCCAACTTCAGCTCTTTTCAAAACAACAACACACAAACACACACACACACACATTGATGGCAGGAGACAGTTACGTTTTGGCCAGGTTAAAAAAAATCTCCCCAGGGATCAGCTGTTGCATCTCAGGACTTTAAAAAAAAAGAAGTTCATTTTTAAAATGTTATTTTGAGTCATTCCAGATGTTACGACTTTGTAAACAATCCCAATAAAGTTCTCTTGGGTTCCGACATGACCTCTGACTCTGTCTTCATTGAATTACTTTACATGAAGGTGAATGTAAATTCCAACTCTTATTGAAAAGGTAAAAGTACATTTAAAAAATATATAGATACTTAAAAAATGCATCAGTATTGTGTGTGTATTAGTGACGCAGTTAAAGGTTGAGTAGCTTAGAGGATTTAAACTTGTTAAACACAAAATCCATCTGGCGAGGTGGAAATAATTGTTATTACTCTATATACTTCTGCTTTATTGAAACCAATACATGTCGTTTTATTTGATTTATACTTTGTTAACAAATCTAAATCTGAAAAGTAACCACTAATATAGCGTTAAATATAAATAATATAGTAAAATACTGGTGTGTTAGTACCCTGATTTTGAATTCATAGCAGTTGCACGGTTTAGTCAGCAGATGGCGACAAAGGTCCATTTCTATTTACATCCAGAAATGAAGTGTGACAAAAGGCAAAAGTGAAATAGTTTTTTCAGGTACGAGATAAAACCTTTGGCCAGATCTCAATATGTTTTTCATTTGTGGCACTGGTCCTCTTCTGTAGGCGTGAATTTGCCTCCTTTGATGATACAATTAATTTAAATGTTATCGTATTATCAGGCTTTTTAAACGGACAGCATGGCAGTGGATTTGGAACTAGTGCCAGAGATATGGAAAAATGATTAAAATCAGAAATAATTTATACATCCTACAGTGAGGAAATGTAGACAAGTGCAGATAAAGACACAATAAAAGTAGCACATTATACAATTAAATGTAGGGTAGTTAAGAATGGAGAAACCAGCTCGAGTGCGCTAGAATTTGAAAATACACAACCTTTTTTAAAAATCTGCCCCTTCCTTCAGACTTCCTTACAGAGCCCCTCCTCCAACACACACGAACGCGCACATGACCAATGAGGGCACGAGATAAGTTTGTGCACAGATGGAAGGCTGACAGGCAGGTAGGCCCATAAGTATATATAAAGGACGTTAACGTGATAAAGGTAGTTTATATATATCTATGGGTAGGGCCATCCAGTTATTTTAGTCCGGGCCGGCTCAGCTGATTGGCCACGGCTTCCACAGATGAAATGTTGTAACGTATTTATTGTCAAAGCATTTAATATATCCATTGCTATCGGGATGTTAAGAACATTCCATGGAATATGACAAAAAGTGTTTCTGAAGTGTTACCCTACCTTTAAGTGAACATTTAAAAGTAATAAATCAGCCGTCAGTATTAACAGAAGTAAGTCGATCTAGCTGCCTTTAAAGAAAGCTTGTTTTAAATATTGGGGAAGTATCCTATGATTTGCACATGGCAGAGAATATGATGGATGGTGCTGCTCCACCCTCCAGGCATTATAATATCCTGTTTCTGTGTGTGACACCACAGTATGCCTTCATTTAAAAGTACATGCAAAAAATGATTTACTGAATAAATAAATATTAATAGCAGATCAAATATAAATAAATAATAATAACTGTAAGAAAAAAAAAAAAGATCATCAATATAAACAATCAAATAATCAGGGGTGCACATAACTTTTTTGCCCTGGTTCTCAAAGGAGCACCTGCAGATGTTGCTTGGTGCTCATCCT